GGTGGAGCACAGGTCCCAGTTAAGACAGTCCAGGTCCCCCATGACCCCCGGCATGCCCCAGATGCAGGTGCCATGCACCGGAGGGCCAGTGAGGACATGAGATCTGCCATCTGGAGCAGCTCACAGTCACAGGGCCCAGGACAGCAGTGCCCACGCAGCTGAGTCTGTGCACCTACCCTCCAGGGGCTGAGAGCAGCAAGGGGTGAGCCAGGAAGTCCTGACCCCTCTGGTTCCACCAACTGACCTACCGAGTCCTTTGAAGAAGCCACATTGGTCAGCAAATGACTGATGAATGCGTCCTCCAGTGGGTTCTAAGCTGCTGCCAGCCCCGCCTTCCTGGCAATGTCACTCTTAACCAACAGAACTGCTCCTGTGGCACAGAGATCACCTCACCTCACAGGCTAGAGCTAGGCTCAGACGTGCAAGACCCCTGCCCAAGCTCACCCAGCATGGGTCGGCGGCCCCTGTGATCAGATGTCCTCAACCCCACCCCTCCAGCCACAGTCAAGGTCCTGACCCCACAGGGCACAAGACGGGGGAGGTGGGAGCTTCCCAGCACACACAGGCAGTGCTCATGCGGGGACGAGGTGCGGTGTGGGGAGCCAAGAAGGGACAAGAAGCAGACACCGTGCGGTTGGGTCTGCACAGCCCATTTGATCAGCTGGTGGGTTGATTCCCTCTGTCCTCACGGCAGAGGCACCAGAGCCAGACCTGCTCGGCAGACCTGGGGAGCACAGGGCACGGCTGGCCTGGATGCAGGAGGCTACTGCTGGGCCTGTGAATGAACTGCGCTCAGGAGCTCAGAGCCCACCCCACTCCCTCTGCCTCTGTTGGGGGCCTGGGCACAGGGAGGGCTGGGGTTGGGGTGTGCCCACGAGCTGAGCCTCGGGCAGGACCGCGGCATCTGTGAGGGTCTGCACTCAGAGAATCCCCCTGCCTGTGGGAACACATGGGAGAGAGGGAAAAGCGTTATCGCTGCCTTTTGAACAAAGGACCATTTCCGTTCCACACCGGCTCTTGCAAATTATATACCAGCCCTGTCCAGCCCTGGCAAATCCCACCCACCCCAGGACACCAGGCCCACGTCTGGGCCATCTCCAGGCCACAGTGGGAGGCGCTGGGCACTGGCCTCAGGACAGGTGGACCTGGGTGTGGACCCCAGTTTTGTCACTCAGAAGCAAATGCCTCGTCCTCTCTGAGCCTCAGTTTACCCATCTGTCCAATGGGGGCCTCCCTAGGAGGTCTGTGCTGAGAAGGGTGGGACAGGAATGGGAGCTGGGATTCCCGGCACCCAGGACCCTCCACACCCAACCCTGGCCAGGTCCGAACACAGTTTTATGTTCTGTAACTGCAGGGTGGAGACCCCAGCACAAGTGCCGGGGGTCCTTCATGCCGAGCGTCGGCGTCACTGCATGGACGCCTGGTGCAGCTGCCCACACGCTCCCAGCCTGTGCTCATCTCCACTCTCGGGAGCTGGATGGAGACTGGCAGAGGGAGGGCAACGCCGCGGGGCCCCCACTCGCGGCAGCCTGGCTGTCAGGTTCTGAATGGGCAGGGCTGGGTGGGACCCTTGGGGGACGGGAGGGCAGGGGCTGCTGTCCTCCTTGTGAGCCACCTTGTCTCCAGGCACCGCAGGAAAGAGAGAGGGAGTGGCCTGGCCCCCGGGTCCCCATGGCTCAGCCCCCTCGAGGACTTGGGGCGGAGGTCTGGGACGAGTGGATGCCATGCTGTCCACACTCTCCAGCCCGTGGTCACAGGACAATGGGACAACAGGGAGTCATTTGTAGAAAAGGCATGAAAAACACACTGCTGTTGCTCCACCCAGGGCAGATGGGTCCCCCATCACCCCGCGTCACCCCTGGGCCCCGTCCACCTGGGAAAGAAACTCGGGCAGCGGGTTTGGCATCGAAGTTTATTTGGAGCAGGTGTAGGCGACCCCTCGGGAGAGACCGGAGCAGGCAGGGGGCTCCGAGCACCACGGCCTGTGGGGAGGAGCTCCTCTAAATCAGCTCCTGCCACATAGAAGGGCAGAG